CCCGAAGCCCTAGAACCCTAAACCCTAAACCCTAAACCCTAAACCCTGAGAGCAGTAACGAAGATGCAGCCGCGAATCTGGTCGAGATCCTTAAACAAGGCTTCGATATCTTCGATCGCTTCCTGCTTGACCCGCCCCTGCCTCACAAGCATATACCTGGCTGGGCCGGGCAGCAACGACATCGAAAAACCTATCAACTAGTGATATTATCCCCTGACAGCCGCAAGCCCTGAACCCCAAAGCCCTGAACCGCACACTCCGGATTCCTAACCCCAAATTCTCGAAAGCCCTTAGACGGTCGGACAACGGTGACATCTGCACTGGTTTTACAGACAGTCCCGAGCTTGCCCCCTCTCACCGACGGAACACTCATCCTCCTAGGCACCATTTCACCATGGTGCCTTTCGTTCACTTCTGGGTGCACGATCCAAACTTTTGCAAAAGGCACGTCCACCGCTGACAGCTACACCCAGACAGCCCGACACCCCACCAGGCACTTCAGAAGGGCTCTTGATACGATCTAAACTCCAGATCTTCGTTGCGAGTGGTTTGAAATCTGTGTATATACATGTGGGAGGCATCATATGCTGCAGGTTCAACTGAGCTGCAGCACGAACTCGCTGCGGGCCACCTTGCCAGATCTATTTCCTCGGTTGGGTTTTAGGGTTTAGGGTTTAGGGTTTAGGGTTTAGGGTTTAGGATTTAGGGCTTAGGCGGTAGGGTTTTAGGGTTTAGGATTTAGGGGTGAGTTTTGGAGTCTGGTTTTCGGAGTTAAGTTTACAGTCTGTTCGGGCTTAAAAATTGCGGGTCCAGGACTTGGGGTCAGGTCTGCCGGTAAACCCTGGGTTTAGGGCTTAGGGTTTAGGGTTTAGGGCTTAGGGTTTAGGGCTTAGGCCTTAGGGTTTAGGGTTTAGGGCTTAGGGCCTAAACCCTAAATACCTAAACACCCGTCCTTAAACAAGCCCTAAGCTTCAAGCACTAAACCCTTAACCCTAAAACCCTTAATGTCGGGGCCTCAAGAATTAGTGTAGGGTTTAGGGGTCCCTTATTATACGTATAATAACTATAATGTACCCCAAACCCTGTTTTACTTCTTCAGGCCCCTATACTACACACCCTGA